TTCTTGATAGTTTAAATATGTTGAATGCTGCCTTCTGGTAGTGAATCAATAATTTTAGACTGCTGTGGAAAGCCCTGTTCAGAACACAGGGGAAGTGCAGAACTTCTCAGGTAAGAATGCTTGGGAAGTCCCCATCTGCCCCTGTGACTGGGATCAGTGAACCCTGTCAATGAAACCCGCCCAAACCCGCCCTTTCCCCCTTAACTTTCAGCTCTTAGATAGATGTGTCTGACATGCAAAGCTATCCTCTCTAGACCTTCTTTTAGACTTTCCTGACAAACAACCATCACTTCCTGATATTCAACCCTGTGCTTTGTTTCTGTATGAGTATCTAACTCCTGTCTTCCTCACCCTCCCCACCCACATTAGCTTGAGCTGGTTATAGGGTATTTGATATCTCCAAACTATTTCTGCTCAAACCAAAGTTTTAGTCCCTGTCAACAAAGTCTTTCTATTGTTCCCAAATGTCTGCATTAATTCTCATATCAAAGCCAAACAGACTAGACTCCAGGTGAATTTCATTAGCTTCGGCAGCCTCCTCAAAAAGAGTCAGTTGGGAGAAGAGCAAAAAGAATCTTCAATAGAAACAGAAACTCATTCACTTACCAGTTGTCTAATTTTGAGCAAGCCACATTACTTCTCCAGAGATGCGATTCCTTTCTGCAGAAATGGAAGATAATTAAATTAAATGACTGCCAAGTCTTGCTTTGACTTTCAACGCTTATTAAACTTTGATTCTTCTGTTTTTGGCAGACTGTGCTTTCCCAGCCTCTGGCTGGTCTTACTATGAAGTAACAGAGCTGACTTTACTGCATTTGTTCTTTTCCTTCCCTGTTGAGCTACTACCTACCTGCTCTTTCATGTTAGCTATTGGCCCTTCCTTCCTTGGCCTCTCCCTCAGATTAATTAAATGAAGACTGTTTGTACATGTACTCAATATGGACTTACAGTAGATGAGATTATGGGTATGCTTTTCCCAAGCCAGAAGCTTCAGCAATAATTCTTGTTTCACTTGAGAATTGGTCAAAAGAGTCATTTATCTGACAAAACCATAACTCAATAGGCAACTGCATTCATTTAATGTTTTCTAAAAACATTTCTTGCCTCCTGGCTCTTAATAGCATAATTTTGTTTCCCTGATTCTGACTAAAAGAGTAATTACTGGCACTTGGTGGGCATACTTTGAAAAAAGAAAGGGTATGGGAAAAAGAAACACATAAATATATATTTTGTTCTCTGGAATTATCATAAAACTCTGTAGTAACTGACAGTTTAGTATTTGATGTTTGCAATTTGTTTTCTTTCCTTTTTTCCACTTTTCCTGTGCCTACATTGTACTTGGAAGGAAAGTAGGGGTCAACTAAAAAAAATTGGTATTTTAACAATATTTACTAATATTAGTTTCATGTGAAACATGAAATTTAAGCAAAATAGATAATGTTATTTATGTAAATAAGCCCCCAATAACACTAGAATCTGTGATTTTATTATACAATTTTATTTCTCACAGACTGTCACCCAGGAGAGTTATCCCTGACGTATTTATTGACAAAAAAGAACGTTCCCACTGAAGGCAGTTAGGAAAAGAGAGATTCCATCTGATGTATCTTCTAAAGAAAGAGCCAGTTGAACATGAGGTGCAGAGAAGCCTTAAGGCAGAGGAAAGGAAAGTAATTGCAGTCAAGTGCAGCTCAACAAAAGTAAAGCCAGATGCCATTTTTAATATCTGAATAATTAGTCTCAAATCAGCTGGTTCAGCCCTTCCCAACCAGAATCTGGGACAAAGCAGAATTAGGACTTGACAACTGCTCGAACATGTTAGGATCAGGAATTTTTACTTAGGGAAAAATAACACACAGGTTTAGAATTTTGACCTTTAAAAGGTTTATTAATCTCTGCAGTGCTCCATTGTTCAGTCAATGCCAGCCAACTACCCCACATGAAGTTTGTAATATGACTTTGAGTAAATCTTTTAGAAACATAGAGAAAAACATGAGTGCAACAACGCCTTTCCTTTTAATTTCTTTTGTATTGATTTAAAAAAATTAAAAGTGGTTCATGCTTATTAAGGGCAATTTAGAAAAGAGAAGTGATAGATATATCCGAAGACTTAAATTTATCAGAACATTTCAAGTCCAAATGGATGTCAGAATCTTTTACTCTTTTGATGAGAGGAAATCCAGTGGTCCCTTGGATTCTATTTCTAAATAATTTCCTCTAGGAATCTCTGCTGTGGATAAAGTGTGGGTAGAAACAGGGTTTTATTCTACAGTTCCCTGTTCTCTCTGCTCTGGAATCTGGTAATCTATTGTTTTGTCTTCCTGCTCCTAAGACCAGTACTACTCAGTTGCTTGCAGGCTCCTGTCTCCCTCTTCTTCCCTTCATCCATCAGTGGCTTTGGGGTGTCTCCTCTGGAGATTCTTCTTCCTAGTGTATGTGCCTAGAGAATTCAGGGTGCTGCAGGACTGGGGCTGGTGGGGATGGCTGTTCTGAGTCTCCCCAGCCTCCCTATGAGACATCACTCATAATGCTTTTATCTCAGGAATTCCATCATTTTTCATTCCATCCCAGCCTCCTGGATGCAGCCTGGCCTATCCAACAGGAACTTGGGTCATGTGATGGCCATTGGGAGGACTGTTGCCCTGCGATGCGACTGAGAAGCCTAAATGACCCTGGATTGTAGTTTCCCCACATCCTTCTGAAACTGGAACCAGTCTGACTGCTTGTCTTCCAATTGTTTCATGAAAAACACATGACCTGGCCCTACTGAATCTAGAGTCAAAGATGGAGCTGAATAACTTTCTGTGAGACTCAATTTCTCCTTTGCAGCGGTCCTAGGCTCAAGTAACTGTTTGTGTGACAGTTAGGACGTTCCTAGAACAGCCTTTAGGGGGATTATATGGCTTTTTCCCCTAGAGCATAACCAGCTTTGCCTCCAGTGCTGATCTACCACAGTCTCACCTCTAACAAAGCAAGGGCCAGGGCTGTCCTCCTAACTCTTTTAAATTTCTGCCTTCCATATCAGAGATCTAATGTTAAAGTTCCTCACAGCTTTTTCTTGACTTTTATTCTTTTCTCTCTCCTCACTCCCTCTTTAACAAATCTCCCCTATTCACAAGGCGATCAAATGTATCAATTTGCTGGTGACTCTATAATTTGCTGGTAACTCAAGACAGATCTCCCTTGTGATATCCAAAGTGGGGTGTTTTGAAGAGTGGGGGTGATAGAAGTATAAAAGTGTGTCTGGATTCTTGATCTATTTTAAGTATAGAGACAATGAAATGTCTCGGTTGCTGTAGAAAAAAGAGAAGTTGGCCGGGCACAGTGGCTCATGCCTGTAATCCCAGCACTTTGGGAGGCCGAGGCAGGCAGATCGTTTGATCTCAGGAGTTGGTGAGCAGCCTGGGAAACATTGCAATAACCTGTCTTTGCAAAAAATACAAAGAAAATTAGCCAAATACAATGGTGCACACCTGTAGTCTCTGGAGGCTAAAGTGGGAGGATCATGTAAGCCTGGAAGGTTGAGGTGGCAGTGAGTTTCAATCGCACAACTGCCCTTAAGCCTGGGGGGCAGAGTGAGACCTTACCTTAAAAAAAAAAGAAAAAAAAAAGGCATCAACAAGAATCCTAAGCTTTTTTCTTTGAGTAAATGATTGAAAAGAGCTCCCATTTGAGATGAGGAAGATTGTGAGATGAGCAAGTTGGGCAGGAAGGGTCAAGAGTTTCGTCTGAGATGGCTAGTAGTCATCCAAGAGGACTTGAGAAGGCAGGTCTCTATTGAAATAGAGAGAGGGGAGAAGGTCTGACGGTGGTCAACACAGAATTCATGGAACAGGACAAGGTTGCCGGTAGAATAATGTAAATACATGAGGTATATTTGTATTATGTTTGCATGTTTCAAACCTTATATTCCATTTATTTATAATATTTACATAAATATGTATATAAGTATAATGTAAATGTATGTAATGTATCTTAGTAGTATTTCCAAGTCTTTTGATCACATTGCATCATTGCTTTTAAATAGGATTCTATGATTTACACTCCCTTTGTTGGTCTATATATGTATCCGTTTCATTCTAGAATGGTGGTTTTTACTTTGTTATCACAACCCAAGTGGGTTTCAGATACCCAGAAACTGGTAAAGGGTTGTATTTATCTGCAGGCCAAAAGATGGCACTTCACCAGGATTATGAACAGTTCAGAGATGTTTAACCTCATATATGCAAGATGGGCTCAAGGGATTTTGCCTTGAGTTTAAAAGATTAACTCCAAGAGAACTATACTTGTTCAAATAGCCACTGTGAAAATGTGATGGAGATTGAGATGACACACTTCTCCAGGGTTAAAGAAGAGAATCAGTCTCCCTGACACTCCCACATGCTAAATTGTGAGCAGGAATAAGAAATCCAGAAAATACACTCTTTTAAGAAGATGGATTTCCACTTGTGAATAAGTAAGGGAGTTTTGTAAGTCCATGTTTTTGTTATCATTACACCAAGTCATTATAAGGCTGTATTTATAACTGATACAGATTTGTTAAATAGATTAGTGTCCCTTTGGCTAGTATTTTCTCTGCCCTGGGCCCCAGTGATCCCATTCCTTTACATTTACCATGCCTGGGAGTTAGGCTGGTTTCCTAAGAGCTCGGGAAATGAGCCAATGATTGTTAAGTGATTGTTCTCTCCAGGACAGCATTTTCAAGCTTGGGGAAGTAGTTGAAATTTATAGTAATACTATATCTTTAGAGAGCATCTTTCTCTTAGGAGCTTGCTGTATTTTACAGGCATTCAGCTGGACTCTCCCTAGGACCCAGGAAAAACTGGTAACAGTAATGACATATACAGATACCTATAAACTTTAATGATAGGGGCAGATACTCTCCTAGGAAGGAAAATGTCTACCTTGAGTGTAGTCTTTCTGTTTGATGCAAAACCGCTGAGAAACTCCACTGCTGCAGCCTGAACATCTCCCCCAAACCCTGGAGGCTGGGCTATATTCTGGCACTGAGTGGATTTCACCTTGCAAAATATTAGAAGGAAATGGTTCTCATCAGGGCTTTAATGTGGGGAATATCACTATAGAGATTGAAGGTTCAACAATTCAGCTCAACAGCAGTTTATTGAGTTACTCCTAAGCCAGTCCTTTTGTGACAAACATAGCCCCTGGCCAAATGCCTAGATTCTAAGACATGATTCCCAACCATGCATCCACAAAGTCTTGCTAGGCAGGCTGTAAGGCAATTGACTGAGGAGGTATTTTAATCGAGATTCCAAAGTCCTGCCTCTAGTGGGTCTAGGTGGGTTCCAGGGTTTTGACTCCTTAACAAAATCCATTTAATAAAAAAGTGACTTTATTGAGTAATCATATCTAGGAGTTCTTATTAATTTATTGCATATGATAGCATTACATTGTCAACAATTTGGAAAAAGTAAGCTGTAGAAGTACCATCTTGCTGAACTAGCAGAGGTAGTATTGTGCAGTGGTAAAAGTTAAGAGTTTGGAATTAGACTATTTGAATACCTCCTTTTCCTCTTACTAATTATGTGACATTTGTCAAACCACTCAAGAGCCTTAGCATCAGCTTTAACATACAGCTCTCTTTTGTGAAATAAAAATAATAGTTCCTATTTTACAAGTTGTTTTGCTGATTAGATAAGATATTGGATAAAAGTGTGACAATGAGTAGTCTATTAATGGTAGTTATCATTGTTGCTATCACTCTTAGTAACTCAAAAGAAAATCAAACCATCCATATGCATCTCCTAATTAAAATATGGGCTTCTCCATCATCACTCTGTAGTGACAGATATCAATCAGACATACACATGCTCACACTTCCTTAGGCGGAAATTATGACCAATAGCTCATCTCAAATAGCATTCCCTTTTTAGTCTTAGTCTAATTTTTTGTTTTAAGGCACAAGTTAAAAGAAGACAGTCTTGTTCACATATGAGTTTCTAGGTTATTTCTTCTCTGAGAAAATATTGACATCAGTTTTGAGTTTTTCTGAGCAAGGGCATAGGGCCTCTTATATACAGACCCTATTCATAATTATATCCAATGTTAGCATGTAAACGCTGATCAGATGATACATTCTATTCTAAGACCCTAGATTTTTCTCCTGAGGAAGACAGGAAAAGTGATGAGACGCTTCCTGAAAACTCAATGGGCACCACGTAAAAACTGGAGGAGAAAAATCCCTTAAGATTTTTATGATATGTGGCTTGCTGCCTATTAGTTTTAGCCAGTACCAGTTAAAACAACACATGCCCCCTAGGGGAGAAAAGCAGTGTAAATTCCAAGACAAAATACAGAAAAGAGCCTCCACCACTGAGCCAGGAAGGAGATAGTTAACAGAACTAAGATTAGTTAACATCAGTGAGGATGTTAACATCTGTGAGGATGTTTTATAGACCCAGCAAGTAAAACAGACCAAGTTTCCTTTAACACAGCTGAGGCTACCAGCCTTTGGAGAGATTCTCCAAATCATCCCTCTTAATTCTACTTCCTTCAGAAGACAGAAGGAAAAGGGCAAAAGTTGGAGAAAGCGACCAGGGATGAAGGAGGTGGGGAGCAGATGTAAGCAGTAAGAAAATGTACCTAGCATTGATCAGAATGTTTTAAAGACTGGTTTCATGGATGTCTGATCTAAAATATGTGCAGCAGGCATTTTCTGCTCTTTCTGTCACCATGTCACCATGTCTGTCACCATGATTTTAGCATTTTTAGATTTCTACTATACTGTTTTTAAAATGTTCAGTATTTCATTTATTCATTTACTCATCCATTCATTCACCAAAAATTTTCTTGAGACATTTTCTATAAGCCAAACAATGAGACATTAGAGTACATGCATGCCCCTTATAGATCACAGTACAATTGGGAGGTGGAGCCATGGTCAGATAATTATCCTGTCCCTGGCCAAATGCCTAGATTCTAAGACATGATTCCCAACCATGCACCCACAACATCTTGCTAGGCAGGCGACAAGACAATTGACTGAGGAGGTATTTTAATGGAGATTCCAGCATCCTGCCTCTAGTGGGTCTAGGTGGGTTCCAGGGTTTTGCCTTCTTAACAAAATCCATTTAATAAGGTGATTTTATTGAGCTATCATATCCAGGAGTTCTTATTGATTAGATATGTATGGGGGCAGAAGTTGCCAGGCCTCGAAACTGAACTTAAATGACTTGGGAAAAGTGAAGAACATTTCCATGTAGATGGACCACTGGGGCATTGGGTGGGTAGGAAGGAAGGGGACCACTGACTGGGATCATGCTGGGGAGAGTAGATTTTATCTCATGAAAATCGGGAAATACTAAATGTTCTATTTGTTAGACAGAAAAAATATATGTTCATTAAATATTTTACACATGTTTAACAAAATAAAAAGCAGAGATAATGGGGACAATGGTGAAGAATGAATCAATTAAAAGGACAGGAACATTAACTAGCAACCTGCCAACCTGCAGGCTGAGTGCTGGGTGTTTCCATAAAAAAATTATTTATGAAATTCACCCACACCCCTAACCCCAAACTGTTTTGTAGTAATAATCCCTTCCATATCCAGATAAGATAGTTGAGGCTGGTCAAGGTTATGCAGCTGGGCCAAGCTGCCAAGTTAATAAACAGCTGCTATAGCATCCAAAGCTAAGGGTCTCTGATGTGAAAAGCCATACTCTCTCCCCTCTCAACTCTGCTGCCCCAGGAGTAAACTGCACCAGGTCAGGATTTCACAGGGTTTGAGGGATGATGAGAATCTGTCAGTAACTTAAAAGAAGGCTTGAAACAACAAAGCGAAATAGTCTAACTGCAACAATTGAATAAGACCCCAATTCTTAATCTTCCTGTCACCGAAGACAAGGAAGGATGGTTGGGATTAACACAGTTGGCAATCTCAGCAGCCCGCCATCAGCCACACACTCCAAGAACACACAGAACAGCACTTATTCCTACCCCAGCCATTGTGACTGACAAGAGAAGCGCTCTGTCTTCTGAAAATGCACAACACGGATGAATTTTCTAAATGAATTATTCATTCATAGCTTCCAACAAAAAAAGTCATTGGTTTTCATTCAGCAAGGGAGCTGTGAGGAGGGGGATTACAGGTATGGAGGTGATGGGAAGGATGTTGATGTTACTTAACAAACAGAGATGCTATAATAATAAGCTTTGGCAACAGTTTCTAAATGACGGCAAGTCTACTGAAATATGCAATTTAAAAAGGATGGAAATTGATTGGTGAAAACAAGTCAGGGATCACAAATGCAAGTTGGTTTGGTACCTAAGGTATGATAAAAATATAAAGAAGAAACACTTTTTGAAAATAGTCATGGTTTCTTAAAAAGTCAAATAATTATTAGAGATTCAAATGAACTCTTTGATGAACACTGAATTGCATGCAATAATATCACTGGGAAATTTACTAGCCATAAGAAATCTCAGGCAGATGGTGTTTTAAAATTGTTTTCCTCCCAAAGGAAAGAGGCAATTCAGGGATTGTCTTTCAAGGATATCTTTAGGACACATAAATAGAACAGACAGAAAAACATAAATCAGAAAAATTAAGGGATTATAAGACGCAGGGCTTAATATACCAAAATCTTACAAATCAATTATAAAGCTTCAAACTTCTTAATTAAAATGGGGTAAGAATATTAAGAAGCAACTCACAAAAAGAGGGTATCAATTGGCCAATATAATTTTACATGAAAGAATTCCCAAAATCAATAATCACAGAAATTCAAGTGAAAAGAATAATTTCAGATACTACTTATTTAGGCAATTCAATAGCAGCTTTTATTGTATTATTTATTTATTTGTTTTAATTTTAGATTCAAAGGGGACATAGCAGGCTTGTTACATGGGTATATTGTGTGTTGCTGAGGTCTGGGCCTCTAATGATTCTGTCTCTCAAGTAGTGAACATAGTACCCATTAGGTAGTTTTTCAATCCTTGCCCTCTTTCCTTTCTCCCTTTTGGAACCCCCAGTGTTTATTGTTCGCATGTATCTGACCATGTGTCCCCAGTGTTTAGCTCCCACTTTAAGTGAAAACATGCAGTATTTTGTTTTCTGTTTCTGTGTTAATTTGCTCAGAATAATGGCCTCCAGCTACATCCATGTTGCTGCAAAGACATTATTTCATTCTTTTTTATGGTTGTATAGTGTTCCATGGTGTATACGTACCACATTTTCTTTATTAAATCTACCATTGATGGACATCTAGGTTGAGTCTGTGTCTTTGCTTTTGTGAATAGTGCTGTGATGCACATACAAGTGCAGGTGTCTTTTTGGTGAAATGATTTATTTTCATTTAGGTATATACATAGTATAGAATTGCTGGGTTGAATGGTAGTTCTAATTTTAGTTCATTGATATAGTTCTAGTTTTAGTTATTTGAGAAATCTCCAAACTGCTGTCCACGGGGGCAGAACTAATTTGCATTCCCACTGATATGGTTTGCCTCTGCATTCACACCCAAATCTCATGTTGAATTGTAATTCCCAATATTTGGGGAGTGACCTGGTGGGAGGTGATTGGATCATGGAGGCAGATTTTTCCCTTGCTGTTCTTGTGATAGTGAGTGAGTTCTCATGAGATCCAAGTTGTTTAAAAGTGTATAGCACTTCCCCCTTCACTCTCTCTCCTACAGCCACATGAAGATATTGCTTACCCTTTCCCTTCCACCATGATTGTAAGTTTCCTGAGGCCTCCTATCCATGCTTTGTGTACAGCCTGCAGAAAACTGTGAGCCAATTATAGCTCATTTCTTTATAAATTACCCAGTCTTAGATAGTTATTCATAAAAATGTGAATGGACTAATATACTCATCAACAGTCTGTAAGTGTTCCCTTTCTTCCACAATCTCATTAGCACCTGTTATTTTTTTTTTTAACTTTTTACTAATAGTTTATGTTAGCTGCTGTGAGATGGTATCTCATTACAGTTTTGATCTACATCTATCTGATGATTAGTGATGTTGAGCATTTTTTCATGTTTGTAGGC